CTATCACAAATAAAGTAAATTCAAACTTATAAAATAAGGAAGCATACAATAAAGAAATTAAATAGCAATATGCACTTTTTATTCCTCCTATAAATCACTTCCAATTAAAGTGTTAAATCAGAGTTTCCTTGGGAAACAAAGAAATGGAACATTAACTACCTAACTTTAAAATCTGTTGGTCTTAGATAAGATTACTTAACAAAGGAAACAGCATTCATGACACAAAGCTGGGATTAACTATAGAAGTGCAAAGCCTATGTTACTTGGTTTTACAATTCACTATAAACCCCCAGTTAAAAACTTAAATTATTAATCCCTCTTCCAGTGCCATCTCTAAAAGTGTCAGTTTTTTGCTAATGTAGAAAGTTTCAGCCATTTACAAGGGATATATCCCATGCTCATTTTAAGTGTGCATGCCTCTGAAAGATGAGATTAATTCTTACTCTAGTCTAACATTTATACCCAGAATGAGCCAAACATCCTAGATTCCTAGAATTCTCTTTGAACTTTTCTGTCCCATTTATTTTCCATTGAAAAAATGGGAAGTAAAGGACCTAAGAAACTTACTAAATTTGCACAGTAATATCTAGGATTTGTAGAAACTGCAGGGCATGACTAGAACAGAAAAGTCTACAAAAGCCAGTTTCCAGAATTAAATGACGCTTGGTTTCCACAACTGGAGCAAAAATTAATAGGTTAACAGATTTGTAAGTGAACTAAGCCCTAGAGCTAAGTTGAGGAATGTTTTTCTTTTTAAGACAGGGAATTGCATCACTGTTCATGAGTGTCAGGTAAATACCCATATGCGTATCAGTATTCACCTACAAGCCCCGCTCCACTCACCCTCTCCATCCAAAAAAACGAGCACAAAATGCAGACCATTAATTGTTCAGACTATTATAAACACCCTCAGCAGCAACAAGAAATATGCAACAGCCATTCCTTCGAACATGTACCTTTCTTAGGTAAAATATTCTGTGCGATAGAAAGAAGAAACTGATATTCAGAAGTAGAAAATTCCGTATTTCTAACAACTTCCAACACTATTTGCTAGAATTTTTTTCACTTTAATTTTGGTGCCAGAGTTGGGATAATCTAAAATAATTCTTGAATTATTACAGTTGAGCTACATGCTGAGAAGCAAGACACTGAACTAGTTCCCCTCTATCTGAGCACAAAAATAATAACTGCTTATTACTAAATTGATTTATATTGACTTCTCTTTAAGACTATGTTTTGAGAGTGTTTAATGAGTACACTGACCAGAAGTCAGGAAAGATTGGTTTTCTGATGTACACAGAAATAGATATAAATGCAGACTTTCATTCTGTAAAAATATATTAATATAATAAATACGTACACATAACATCTTTATCGGTAGATGTGCACATTAGAAAGTACATTTATAGTTAGCATGTACAGGCTTAGATGACTTCTCCAGGCTTTTTATAGTGACTTAAGATTAATACACCTGTTTTTATACAGCACATAGAAAATAGGACCTGGTAGAAAAATAAATATTTAATCTTTAAAGCGTATTTTCCTGGAAAATAAATAAAACTATAAGCAATTACATTTCCACTAAAAAACACAGGAACACCTGAATAAAATGTTTTATGTATCATTTTGTCTCAGTCAGTATCATCTTTCCTCCAGAAATGGAACAAAAAAAAAATGATCAACCATTTTCTTTAGGAAATCTGAGCATCATTGTATTTTATATATATAAAGGTTGAATATTTTTCAAAGCGCATTTTCTTGTGTTACAGAAATGCAAAACCATATAGCTAAATATTATAGTTTAGTTTCCATTATGCGGTGACATACATAGGAAAGGAGAGGACAGCTTATTTTCTCCAAGTCTACTCTGTGAGAGTGTAGGGTTCTACTTTTTGATGAAAAAATCAGCACTAATGAATAGCTGAAAAACATAATTGAGTGTGGAATACCGGAGCTATTCACTGCTGGAGAAAGGACTTACTACTTTTGCAGAGATCATTTTTAGACTGGCCTTTTTATTCTAAGGAATGAAGCAATCTATCTACATCTTGAATGATAAATTCTCTGCTTGTAAAAGGCTTCATTTATCACAAACAATGAAAAAATATAGAAAGAAAAATCAATACGTGTAGTAGTTTAGTCCAGCAAAGGCCTTTCTTAAAGAGAAACCTCAGTCAAGGTTGAAAGAGCAATTAATGCAGTCTCAAAAATCTGGGCCACTCTGATAGAGTTCGGTTAACATGTGGCAGAAGTAATCATCCACTTGTGAAAATGATTTTCAGTTCATTCTCAAACACCTTTCAGACACTCATGATCCCATTTAACTGACAACAATACAGGCTATCTGTGGGCATCATTGCATTGCTGAGAGCGCCAATGGGGACCAAATGCCCACAGGCACTTTCAGTCATCCCTGCTTGCTCGCATAAAAGGAATCTTCCTTGCACCACATTCCTTCTTTTATTTAACCCCGAAAGATTAAGCCATTTTTTTGTCTTCAGTTGAAGACGAGAGAGAAAACTGATTCAAGACAACAATATGACCTGGGTCATAAGAAACCTAGCTGTAAACATTCTCGGATTCATTTTAGTACTTTCTGTGCTGTTGAGAAAGAGAACTAAATAAACCTTCAACAGATGGAATGAAAAAATCAGCCTAAAGTTCTACTGTAATTATGCCTGTTCAGGATAAAGAAATGTTGGAGAATGTCAAATAATACAAACCACAGCCACACGAAATATTTATTACAATGAGCAAGATACTCATCATATGAACAGAAAAATGTGTCGGTTTCTCCCTCCTTTCCCCAAATAACTTCACTTACAATATAAATGGTTATTGGTATGCTGGAAGATCAGGTATCCCTAGATTCTTTAACAGTGATATCTTACTGCACTCCAGAGCGCTTCAACATTTGTGAATATTCATGCCAGTACTTATAGAACCTGTGAAGTAACTGCAATGGCAACTTGAGAATTATTAATCCAATTTATGTCATATCATGAAACCTATTTGGTATGTAAAGTGGTAGTATTTGTCAAGACAGAAAAACATCCTTTAGCCTTGAGAGAATTCCAAGCAACAAAAGAATGTAATCCTTCAGATGCAACATAAATGTAGAAAGTGCTCCAATTTTAATGTAATCTAA